AGGCAGGAAGAAGAAAAAGGAAACAAGGGGGGAGGCTACAGAATTACTCCACTCAGTGACCTCATCAGGGTCTTCTAGTCTTAAAGTTGCACCATGACTGTACCAAATTATTGTCCCCACCGCCCCCAGGAATACCTGGTCTGGCCACAGCCATGTCACCTACCACGGTAGCAATGTAGATGATCCGCTGCACAGTCTCAGCATTGTCAATGCAGCGCCGCAGCAGGCACTGCGCATCCAAGCGGGCTTGTGAATAGGCATCGCTGAACCTGGACAGGAGGGCAGCCTTGCGAGCCACACTGGACAGCTTGGACCGATTTGGTGAGGGACTTCTGACCTTGGCAACAGCGGTGGACGGGCTGGCAGACCTGCTCTGGCTGTAGTTGTCACTGTAGCTCTGAGGCTCAGGGCTACGAGAGTGGTTCCTGGCTGACCTGTTGGTAAGCAAGAATCACCCAAGGAAGAAAGACTTGGACTCACTCTGCCTGTCATTCCCAGACTCTGGTTTTTCACCCCACAAAAGCTGCAAATGACAAACAGGAGCTAGCACCCTCCATGGCAGGGTAAGTGCCTGCCTATGATGTCATCCCCAAAGGCCTGCAGCAGGCACTTGATTCCAGAGGCCACAGAAAAGCACAACTCTGCATCAACACAGTGACTCGAGACTGTCAGAACACTTTCATTCATACAGTACCTCACTTTAAACAACCCTGGGGAGCCAGCCTTGACTGCTGGCTGTTTTACAGATGAGGAACATGAAGTTTTAAGAAATTACTGAGACTACCCTGGAGTTACATAGTTGGCAAAAGCCAGAGGGAGAGGAGAAGTCAAATTATGGTGCTTCTAATACACCACACCAGCATATCCCATGAGCCTTGTGGTATAGGTAGACAACTTCCAAGTATAAAATAAAATATCAGACTACAAAAGAAATGAAGCCCCCAAAGGAAGTTTTATAGAAGAAAGCATAGGGTCAAGGTTGCGCAAGATGGTGTCGTGACTGGCTGGTTGGCGGGCTGTGGCAGGAGGTGGAGAAGCTCTCCTTCATAGAGAGCCAATTCCCAGGGCACACATACACCCACCGTAACAGAAAGGCTCAAGTTCTTGGCAACCTGTACAAGTCAGCACCAGGACAGCACAGACAGAGGGAGGGAAGTCCTAGAGATGAATGACTCAGGTGACATTAGAGGGATGGGGCCAGGTGGTGGGAGGTGAATTAGGACACACCGGGGGCTGAAGGGTTAGGAAAATAAGGGCAATGCCAAGACTCCAAAGAGAAACATGCTACTGTGCTGGAGAAGCCTGCCTCCACATCGGCCGTCAGGAGAAGGGACTTTACAGGAACATTCAACCTACATGCTGTCCACAAAGTGAGAAAAGGAATACCACACACTAAAATGGACAGTTGTCCCTGAGGAGTCTCCAGCCTCGGGGAAAAAGACCTTAATGTTATAGAGTGCTCTCTTTCAATGTGGATACCACCTCTTACATTATCAACCCACACAGTCTGGTTTCAAGCCAAAGACTCTTGCTGCCCATATCCCTCAACTCAACATACATCACTGCCCTAGCACTGGCACTCCAAGAGGATTCTCCCTCAGGATGGGCACTGGTGAAGAAAATCTCTAAAACTGAGATTCCACGATGGAATTCTTGCCTGACATGTACAAGCTCTTGGGTTTGATCCTCAG